TTAGTTGTATAATTTCAGCATTTTGTTTTTTAAGTTGCTGATATTTTTGTCTCTGTCTTTTTAATAATAACAAAAGCCTTTTGCAATTTTGTTGCCCTGCTTTAACTTTAATCGATTTTAATTTTTCTCTAAGATTGCAAATAATATTATTTTTTTTCCAAATATTTTTCTTTAAAAGTCTTACTTCAATGGGCATTTGTTTAAGTTTGCTTTTTGAGTTAAAAATTGCTTCTCTGTATTTTTTTCTTTCATCACTACGTGACTGTGATAATAAAGAAAGACGTACCTTTTATAGGTGTTAAATAAGCTCCTCTTGGATCTTCAACTTGAACTTCTTCTATTGGCACAAACATGTTACTGAGAAAGTTCAACAAAGGCTTCAGTAGATGCTGATGAAAAGTCATTAGTAGCTTCAACAATTATTGCCCCTGAGAAAACTTCTGAACAAATTTTTTCAAACATTGACATATCCCTTGAGATGTGCTTTTTGAATTTAATAACACTGTTGTTTATTAAATGTCTAATTTGATTTTTTGTTGTTTGACAACCAAATGTACTAACAATTTTTGCTGTGGTAGTAAAAGAAAACTTATTTTTGTAATATAAAAAAATAACATGTTCTTTGAGGCATATTGTCTGTGAATTAAAAGACACATCACTATACGAAGTCTGAAGATGATCGAAAATAACATTTTTTTTAGGGATTTTCAGATTTGTGAATCACTATAAAAAATAAAAAAGATCAAAATAAAGCACTAGTGCTTTATTTAAAAAATTTTATTTTATTTATTTTTTATCTTTTAGATTAAAACTAATGTTTAATAGAGTTGAATCAGTCTATAAACAATCAATGTTACATTATTTACAGAATTTAGTCCTTTAAAATACTCCAATTTTTTACTGAACGAAGTTTTTTTAAATTACTATTAAAAATATAAACTTTTTTATGATAAAATATTAAAATGCTTTATTTAACTTTTAACTTTCTTTTAACAACTTATAGTAAAAATATTCTGAAATCTAATAATGACGAAAAATCTAATAAAAATACACTCAAATTAAAATCATAGGCTGACAGTAAAGCAAACCAACTAGTATAATTAGTAAAACAAAATTTAATCATGTGTACAAAGTTACAAAGTTTTGAAGCGAAATGAGAAAATAAGTGTTATGCACCAATCGTAATTCAATAAAACGATATATAAATATAACGATTAAACAATAAAACCTTGTGATCCGGAAATTTTACATATGCGTACTTAGAGTAACAATGCTTTAAGTTTTGAAATTAACAAAAATACCTTGTGTGCTTGGTGCAATCTTTACTTATTATGGGCACATCAGATTTACTTTAAATTTTGAGGATAGGTTGTTTAATAAATGTTTTAAAAGAACCTTTGCACTTAGAAAGGACCCTTGCGTATTTTAGGAGCAGTGATTAATAGAAAAACATCAATAATTTAAAATGTAAAATTACACTATATTTTATTTAGAAAAACAACCATAAAATAAATCAAATTATAGGTTGACCTTTTTTTTAAATAAATACAAAATTTCATTTTATTTGGTTCCAAAATAGCGGTGCAGCTTGGTTTGGCTTAGTTTAACTTTTAGCTAAATCAAAAAAAATGCGGCCCAATTTTTAGAACACTTTTTTTACGGCGAAATACGCATATTCTCACATCCCTATATATTGTAATCTGAAGGTAAAAAGTGATCACTACATTTGCGGCTGTGCTCAGTAGGAATAAATGTTTCACGTTTTATAACAACAATCCATTTTTTACAGAGCTCTCTATTATTAATTAGAAATTTATGAAATGCTCTGTTGTCGTTTTTCATTGCTCTAATTGTGCAATGTGCCGCATCACAAGAATTAACCATGATTTATAAATTATGAATATTAAATTATTTAATATTCGATATTTAATATTAAATTATTTTATTAAATTATTAAATTAAATATTAAATTATTTAATATTAAATTATTTAATATTCGATATTTAATAAATATCGAATATTATTTGATCCAAACAACCGTGATTTACTATTTTTTAAATTTGCCCCCCATATTGGCCGAATTTTGCTGCAAAAAATACGCGGAAGTTAGACATCTAGTTATTTTTAATATATTATTGGTCGGGAGGGTCCTTTAATTATTTTCATGGACGGTAATATATAAACAGCCGCCAATGATTGCAATGCCATGTCTTTGCCTATGGTTGTTGATATTGCAAGTCGACCTACTGCTCAAAACGATGAAGGCGATAATTACATTATTCAGGGTAATGTGTCTGATATTTCTTCCATTGATATTATTAGTTCCTCGTACTTTCAATGTCAGCAACCACTTCCAGCAAACATATGTGACTCGTATGGCAACTCAGATACATCTGCAGGCCTAATAGCAAATGCAGTTTAGGAAGATTTTGGTGTTTTTAATCACAAATACTTCTCATGTTATTGATCCTAGTAAAATACGAAGAGGACCTAAGTGAAAGCGTAATCAACTAAAACCTTCTAAAAATTCAAAAATTGATTGCAGAATTTAATTTGATGGACTAAATGACAAAACTCTTGAAAACATCAAGGAAATGTTAAAGTCTTATCAACAAAGTATTACGCAAGAGCACTCTTTAATAGAAGAACCAGGGTTTAAATATCTTGGGCATTAATAACCATCTAGATTGACAACTTATTTAATAAATTTTCTATAGTAAACTTTATTGCTATCAAAATATTGACGTTCTGAAGTGTGAAACAGTTGGATATGACGGAACACATGAAGCAAATGTGGCGCAATTAGGTTGATGAAAAAAAGAAAATAACTTACTGCTGCAATGGTTGATTTGCCTTTTGCATGCAAACAAACTTCCTCAATGACATCTGATAATTTATTTGGGTGGAACAGCCACAGGACTAAAAGCCTTTATTTGACACTTTTAAATTGTGAGAAATTAGTTGTTACATTTGAAAAGATTAATAACTCTTTCCGAAAGTTAAACTTAAAAATCTGAGCACAGATCAAAAACAAATGTGGGAAATGTGCGAAGCAATATCCAAAGGTGAGTGTTCACTAGCTCAATCAAAAAAAAAAATATTATATATATATATATATATATATATATATATATATATATATATATATATATATATATATATATATATATATATATATATATATATATATATAATATATATATATATATATATATGTTATAATTTAATTTTCATAGCTTACTTAACAATAATAATAACAACTTAATGTATAAACCATTTTATACTCACTAGAGATATTTATTTTGTTGATTATTAACAAAAAATTGTTTTATATTTAGTTAGAAACAGCTTCTTTCTTTTTCTACAAATTTTTAATAAACAAAAAGCCAGACAGACAAAAATGGTAAAACTCGTTGTGTAACCAGCATAAAGTGATAAATAAAATGGACTGAAAAAATATAGCACATGCAAATACATTATTTCTTGTAAAAATATGCCTCGTGAAAATATGCTTTAAAAATGCCTCGTAAAGATATGCCTTGGAGAAAAATCATCAAACAAAATTTGCTGAGCCATTTTAAAACATTAAACCGCGCTTAACTTAGAAGAACTTAGAAGATATAAGAACAAATGTGCCGCTCCGCATCTAATTTTGTTTTTTATACTTATTAACTAACCAGTTTTTAATAAAACCCACTACAACTGAATTGATTTTATACAATGTTACTGCAAAGGTAGCCAAAATAGTATTTTACTTCTCGGTGTAATTAAGGCGGTTTACAAATAATTTGAATACTTTTATTTGGAAATAGCATCATTTTATCAGCGCATTATGTCCAAACAAAAGCTTTAGTTGCTATAATTTTTTTTGCCAAAGGTTTTTTTAATATTTAAATAAACTTTTCTTTTTTTTAATAGTTTTCAAAACCTTTTTAATACCCGTAATAGTGAATCTAAAGAGCACTATTTTGCAGTCTCAGTCTCATCGGCCTTAACATGAATTTAGTTAAAATCTTTTGAAAAAGTTCCTTAATTTACTACTGATTCTAGTTCTAATTGGTTCTGACGTATATTACCTATATATAGTTGTCGAAACATAATAGTTCTATCAATTTTTAGAAAAAGTACTAGAATTCCGAGCTAATATTTATGGAAAATTGCCAATAAACGATCAGAACAGATTATTTATTTATTTTATTTAAAACTTTATTTTCAGTTGATTGTTTACAATAGTTTTATAATCAACAAAAGTTAATTAAAATCAACAGACTAAACTGTATAAGACAATACAAACAAACATGCATATCGTGAATAAAAAATAAATAAAATAAAATAAAATAAAACACACTAAACTGTATAAGACAATACAAACAAACATGCATATCGTGAATAAAAAATAAATAAAATATAATAAAAAGTAAATAATATAATAAATAATATAAACAAATAATAGGAAATAATATAAATCTCAATAAATACAACTAGTTGGTTATTTTCGACGTAAAAATTAAAAATAAAAAAAGTTATTTTTGACAGATTTTACAAAAACAAGATTTTCCGTTCCATTTTAAAATACTTTTTTTGAACATCTTTAGACAATTTATTGACATAGTTTCATTGTCTAGGGAGTTCCATAGCGAGATTGCTCTATATAATTTACTTTTTATGAACTTATGTTTAGAGACTATGGGTGGAAGTACTAATTTTTTACTACATCGAAGACTTAACGGCAGGGATTTTTCGATAAAAAAGTTCTAACATAAAATTTGGATTAAAACCAATACTTGGGATGTTTTCTATTTTTTGAATTTCTTCTTATGGGAGATCAAATCTTTTATAGACAATTTAAAGAAAAATTTGACAGTATAAAAGCATTGAATAAAACAGTAGCTTGTTTTACTGATAAGAAGCTCCTTATTCGTGCAAGAGCGAAGCATTTACCATTCGCTTTTCCACACATACTTTTATCCTAGTCTTACTCTCTGTTTGCAAGCAGAAAGTTAACATAATAAGAGTTTGAGAATATCGTAAGAAAACCCATAACCTTCCAACTTAGCTATAAGTAAATCATGTGGAATTAAATCGTATGCCTTTGATAAATCCATAAGCATAGCGCCAACTATACCTCCTTTATCCAAGCATTCTTGCCACTTATTAACTAAATTAAAAAGTGCGTGTTGTGCACTATACCCTCTCCAAAATCCACACAGTAATTTGTTAAAGCTTGGCTCTATAAAAACCCGTATTTGCTCGTAAATAACGATTTCAAACACTTTTGAGAAAACTGGCAGAATACTTATTGGGCAGAAGTTACACTTATCAGTTGGGTCATTTTTTTTAAAACATGGTATGACATCGACCATTTTTAAGAAGGACGGAAATCGCCTTGGGATATGCAATTATTTATACAAGAAAAGAGGCTTTCTCTCAAATCCGTGACATAAGTTTTTAACATAAACGATGGAATATCTCCACTAGTCTTCTTTTACTATTAAGAGAACAAATAATTTTTGTCATATCATCAGGAGTAATTTGATGAAATTTAAAATTTTGAGGATATAATTTGAATAATAGCAAATTCAACAGACACATGTACATTGCAAGGAGAAGGATGATAACTCATCTCACTATTTATAGGAGACGACGCAACGTTAGTGAAATATAAGTTGAAAATGTTTGAAATTTGAAAGTTATCCGAAAGAGTTTCCCCATGTTCAATCAACGTTATGCAATCGCTTGAATTACCAGATTTATTAGAAAGAAAAGGCTTGCATATCTTCGATAGAGATGTTGTGGATGACTTGAATAAATTTTTCTCATTAAAATATATTTTCTTTGCTTTTTTATTCAAGTTCACTACGTAGTTTCTTTGTTTATAAAGAGATAAAGAAATTTCTGATTTTTCAATCTGGAATTTTTTTTTAATTTTGAGCGAAGCATAATTGCTTTTCTAAAACTCTTAGTCATAAATGGCTTATCGTTACCTTCTAAGATTTTAGTTTTCAATGGAGCCTATAGATTTAAATAGTTGTTAAAGATAACGTTAATCTCATTAATATCATTACAAAATCTCAATTTATTTTTTATTTTTTCAGAAAATATAACACTTGAAAAGTTTTTAAAAGACCTGTAAATTAATTTTTTCGGAGGTAACTTGCAGAAAGTAGCCCTGAGCATTGTAAAAATAAGATCGTGATGGTCACTAACACCCGTCAGATAGTCTTAGAGTGTTGAAAACACGTTTTTCTATTTGTTAGGATGAGATCTATACACGTGGGTTTTACGACCGATTTAAAACAAGTTGGTGCTTTAATTAAATTACTACATTGATAAAGGCAGAGAAACTCGTTCATTATTTTATCATGAGGTTGTATATTGTTAAACCATAATGTTCATTTCACTTAAAAAACGTATTAATTTAAAATCCTTATCAAATTTTGACAAGTGAATGTGATTTTAAGATGATTTTTTTTTTTTTTTAAAGAATCTTCGGTCTGGTTTTTTTCGCAACAAACATTAATATTTTAAGATATATTAGTTGTTTTTTTGTCTTTTCATAATTCACAGATCAGACCATTTAACGGAAATATGTCGTAGTCAACAAAATATCATACAGACAAAATATCATACAGACATATAATATTTAAAATGTGCCTTAACTACAAGTTTTTAAAAAGTTTATTTATCACAGAAAATTTATGACACAGTAAAATATTTAATTCTAAAAAACAAAATAAAAAATTATAACAAATTAAACATTCCACAATATGTTCATTGTAAAAATATCACTACTAGACTTGTTTTGCTTAAACTAAACTAAACTTGTTTTGCGGTAATTTATTTTATTGCGGTGGATAAAAAAGTTAACGCCCTTATATAAAAAAAAATAGATAACTTTATGACGTCAACTCCACGAGAAGCTAATTAGATAATCCGTTTTTTATTTAAAACAAGGCAATAGACTTCTACGCTTGTGGCGAGCGAGGGGGCATAAACAAATCTGATACACTTAGTAACTCATGTCATAAGAGTTTATCCACCTGTTTGGTGTATTATTAGGATGCATCCTTTGTACAAAATGGTCCGAAACATCTTTTTAAACGTATTCAGCAGTCACGTTACTATTCGCAGGAACTGCGAGATATTGTTGATCCTTAATTACAAAGTAGCGGGTATTTTCCTCATCCATAAAATCTCTTAGTAGAAATGATTAGTGAGAAATGCTAACCCTATTGTGATTTAGGATTAAGGCGCAATCTTAAAGCTTATGTTTCTGAGGAATATATTCAAGTTTTTTTTGGAAAGTGGTTGACGATTAACAAATAAGTTTGAAAGACTTATAGACTTACCATGCCATATTCAATCAGTGGAGCAGTGTGTCAAGCTTGTGACTGAGGCTTTAGTAGCTGTATGTGGAGAAAAATCACGAGATGGTTTATATTCGATTGCGTTTACATGCACACTTCGTGATTCAGTGTTGAACACAAAGTCAGATTATCTAGCTTTCGAATTAACACAGCAAAAATGTGTAATAAAAGGTTTTCTAAAACTAAATAATGAATATTAAAATAATTAATTGATGTAGTGTTGCTATTCTATAAATCAAAATTTTGATAAATTTATTAAATTGTTTTTATTTTATGGTTATTAATTGTTTTTATTTTATGGATAATCACTTATCGTATAAAGGTAAAATAGAAGCAAATAAAGTAATATTCTATGTGCTCAAATAATTGACAGAGTAAAAAAATTACGAATTTTGTCATTGTGACATGTCATTAAACACATCCAGCAAACATTGTTCTTATGGATTTGAAATGAACTTACATGGGCATTTTTTAGTAGTTTGTTGGAGTTTTGGCAAATAAATAAACGCGTAAAAACATTGTTTATTACATATCTACGTAAAATGTTTAAGAAATGGGTAATTAATCATTTCTTAAGTTTAATTGCGAACAAAGACATTTGTGGGAAATGGGCGTACTTTGTGGGGTATTTTCATTAGAATGTGCTAGAATGTGACGCAAATAAAAACGTTAGAAATTTCTTTTCGCCGTGTATAGTCTACCGAAAGTCGGTAGGGAAAATATTACCCATAATTTTTAATTGGTTGAGAATATCACATGGCAAAATAAGCAATGTTTGTTATACCCTAAAATAAAGAAAATTTAACATTATTTTTAAAAAATAAAAACGTAAAAAATTAAATAGGATTTTCCATTAAATAAATAGAAATGACTGCCACCCCATACCAAAACCCTCAGCCATTAAATCACTCTCCAAATTTAAAAATGGTCTCTTTAACTATTTGTCAGAAAAATACTGTCATAAATCTTGTACTTTTTTTATTGTGTTTAAATATATATTATTAATGTGTGCATACTTGTGTGCATACATGTATATGTATATATATGTGTGTGTGTGTATAGTGTGTATGTTTGTATGTGTAAGTATGTATATGTGTGTATATATGTATTTCTGTATGTATGTGTATGTATGTGTGTGTATATATATATATATAATTATGTGTATATGTATGTGTAAGTATATGTATGTAGGTATGTTTAAAGTATGTATGTATGTATAAATGTATGTATGTACGTGTGTATGTATGTATGTATGTATGTATGTATGTATGTATGTATGTATGTATGTATCTATGTATGTATGTATGTATGTATGTATGTATGTATGTATGTATGTATGTATGTATGTATGTATGTATGTATGTATGTATGTATGTATGTATGTATGTATGTGTACATAACTATGTTTGTGTATGTGTATATTTTGTATATGTGTGTGTATTAATGTATGGGTATGTGTATATGTATGCATCTATATGTGTATGTATATGTATGTATATACATATATATATATATGTATATATATGTATATATATATATATATATATATATATATATATATATATATATATATATATATATATATATATATATATATACATGTATATAAGTATATGTGTATGTGTGTATATGTATATATATGTGTATGCATACATGTATATGTGTATATATGTATATGTATGTGCGTGTACGGATTTATGTATATGTGTATATGTATGTATGCATGTATGTGTATATGTATGTATGTGTGTATGTGTATATGTATGTATGTGTGTATGTATGTGTATGGGTATGTGTATATGTGTATGTATGTCTGTATGTATATGTGCATGTGTATGTGTGTATGTATGTGTATGTGTGGATGTATTTGTATATATGTATGTGTATGTATATGTATGTATGTATATATAGGTATACATGTGTATGTATATGTATGTATATATAAGCATGTATGTGTGCTTATGTGTGTATGTATATTGGTATATATACATGAATATATATCTCGCATTTTTTATATTTAGAATATTATTGTTATTACTTTTATTATTGTTTTATTGTTATATTTTTGATAAGTACTAGTGTTGTTCCTTATTATTATTATTTTATTTATACTATTATTATATACATATACATACTTTTAAATAATTACTTCTTTCATTCCCTTATTATTATTAATATTAATTAATTGGTATTTACTTTTTATTATTATACTTTCAATTATAACTAACATTGTTTTTATATTATTATTGTAGTTATCGTTATTGTTAATAATAATAATTATCATTGTCATTATTATTAATTTTATTATTGTTATTGTTGTTGTTATCATGAGTTTTATTTTTGTGGTTAATTTTGTTATATAATTTTTACAATAACTATTATTCCTTTTTTTATAATTATCACTTTTTTTCTTAATTTTTATTCTTATTGTTATCACTATTTATTTAAATTAAATTTTATAGGTGTTTACTTCAGATTAGTATTATTACTATTTGTAAATATCCTTGATGTAAGACTTTTTATTCAGAATAAATTTGATTTGATTTAAATGCATGTACGCTCCACAGCGCCTATCCCTATATTAGTAAATGTATGTACACTTCACTGCGCCTATCACTAAGCAAGTAAATGAATGCACTCTTCACTGCGCCTATCCCTAAATTTGTAAATGCATGTACATTCTTCGGTGCCTATCCCTAAATCAGTCAGTGTATGAACACTCTATTTCGTCTATTAATGCAAGAACACTCATTGTGCTATTCCTAATGTATATCCCTAAATAATTTATTCATTTTATAAGCGTAATAAAACTTAAAAAACACAGAAAAAAAACAATCAAAATGTAAAACATGTACCTCAGGAAGGCTTCGAACCGGGGCGCCTGCGTGCGGTGGAACGAAAGAAGCCGTGGCGCAGTGGTAGCGCCCTTGCCTCAGGAACGAAAGATCCGCGGTTCAAACCCACCTCTGGGCAAGTTTTGCGACATTGGTTAGGAA